ACACTAGGAGGTGTTATATTAAATTTAGAAGAGTTAAGAACCTTCATAAAAGAGGTTGAATTTTCTATTAATTGTAGGCCTATTTCTTTTGTTTCTGGAGAGATGGATGGACCATCTTGTCTTAGACCTGTTGACTTTCTCTTGCCAAATATTGAAATTAATGAAAATATAAATGAGTCAGATGTAGAAGAAGAATTTAAAATAGGAAAACTGAGTATGGGAGATCAATTAAGAGTACGATTAAAAGCCACTCAAAAGGCCTTTGAAAAATTTTGGACGAGATGGACTCGCGAATATTTATTGATTTTAAGGGATAAATCGAAATGGACCCATAATAACGATCGGACTTCACTAAAAAGAGAACCAAAGGTTGGGGAAGTGGTGATTGTGCAACAAGAAGGCCAGCCAAGGAATACTTGGAGTTTGGGAAAAATTATTGAGCTAGATGGAAGCCCGCCAAAGAGCGCTAAAGTGCAAATAGGAAAAAGATGTTTAGTAAGGCCTGTCAATAAGCTTTTTCCGATGGAAACAAAAAATGACGTAATTAAAAATGGAGAAGAAAAAAGTGAAAATAAACTGGAGAATGGCCAAAATAATGATGCAAATAAAAATAAAATAAAAAATAAGGACAAAGAACAAAATTCAATAAATAATAATTCAAAAGGAATAAAAAATGGAGAAAATAAATTAAAAAATAAAAACAATATACATCCCATGGTCACCAGAGCAAAAAAGGCGACATTAATCTTGACAATTATAAATTTATTTTTATTAATGAACTTTGTATCTTCAAATCCCACTTATTTAGTAAGCTGCAGGGGTTGCAGAATGAAATGTAAAAATTTCGGATTATTAATAAGTGTCGGATCTGAAATTGACAAAGTAGAAGTTTGTTGTATGGGTACTTGTATAATCGAAACAAATGGATTGGAACATTTAGAATTAGGACTGCCAAAGGATGTAACGGCACTAGATTATAGATGTCGAGCAAAATATATAAATGGTCGACGAATATTTCGAGGAAGTATTTTTTGTCCGGCAGTAGATCCTTGTTTAAGAATTACAGAAATTTGGGAAAGGATATTAAATCCACAATGTGAATCAACAAAAACTATAACCATAGTTGGTATTTTCTTAGCATTTATGCTTTGCCTATTAATAAGCGGAATGGTTTGCGCTTGTAGAATTTTTTCAATATTAGGCAAAATAATTTTAATTATTTGGAGATTAATTAAAACAATGGCTAAAATTTCTTCTAAAAAAGATGGAAAAATTGAAAATAAGGACCTTGAAATACTTATTGATCGGTCCCATAAATTAAAGAAAATAAATAGAATAAAAAGGAATAGAAGATTAAACCGACTTGGATTATTAAATATAATTATTTTTATTATTTTTATGAAAATTGTAAAAGCCGATATTGAGGTTATTTCAATTCAGGCGAGATCGGAAGATTGTTATAGATACAAAAATTTAACAACTTGTAAAATTACCACTACTAATACCTTAACTTTATTACCTGATGGGCAGGTAATTTCCTTAACTTTAAAAAATGATAAAGGAATGATAATGGGTGAAATGGAATTTATTATGAATGGTCTTTCAATAAAATGTAACCAAAAATCTCAAAGACAATTGAGATCATATGAGCTTAAAGTTGGATCTGTTAAAAGGTGTCCAGCTCAAGGGACCTGTAAAGCTGGAAGATGCCAACATATTAGATCGAAAGAAAATGTTGAAGAGTTAGATGAATGGATTAAAAAACCAGGAAATTCATATTGTGTCGAAGGCCACGCATTATGGGGATATCAATGTGGATTACCTGGAGCGGCCTGCTATTTCTATAAAGTATATGCCGAACCAATTTCTGATGAAGTATATGAATTGGTTTCGTGCCCTACTTGGGATTACGTAATTGATATAGAAATGTCAATGAGATTTAAGGGAAATATATCAAAATATAGTTTTTCATTAAGTCCTGGAGCGACAATAAAATGGGATAAAATTAGAATATCTTTATTAGATATTACTCCACCTATGGCCCCAATTTTGAGCAGTCAATTTATAATTGGTAACAATGGAGTAGCAATGGTAGATAATTTTAAATCAGATTTAGAGTGTTCTGATGCCAAAAATTTTTCAAAATGTGAATTAGATATAAATTCTTGTAAAGAATGTTGGTTAGATAAAGAAGAGGAACAAATAAAATGTGCTTGTATTGATTTAATAATTGAGGAAATATTTAAAGACAAACAAAAATCTTTGCCTTTAGATACAAAAAGGATTAAATTAAGGAATAATGGAAGAAATATATATTCAGAAACAAGTTATTTACCTATAGAAATTATGGTTAGATTTGAGAATTATTCTATAGCTTCAAATATAGATATTTCTATTTGTAAAATTGAACCTATTATATTATCGGGTTGTTATAATTGCTTTGGAGCAATTTTTAAATATAAATGTTTTTCGGACTATGGAAGTCCTCTAGCGGAAATTAAATGTAAGAATGGTAACATTTTTACAAGTAAATGTTCAGTAAATGGGACTGAACAAGTTTCAGTTCTATCTTTTGATAGAACAGAAGTAAGAGAGTTTTGTGAAATTTTTTGCCCTGGAGGCAAAACAAACTTTACAATACAAGGAACACTTGAATATATTCTCCCAGAAAAAGCTAAAATTATAGTCAAAAATGGAACCCCAAGTTTATACACAATGGAAAGTGCGTGGGGAAGTATTTTTGACAATTCATGGACGAATTTTAAACTTTTGGACATACAAGGATTATTTTGGGAAATGATGAATATTAAAATAATTTCGATTGGAATTTTAGTCATCATTATCATTTATTTCATATTAAAAATTTTTTTAAAAGCCAACCCAATGTTAAAAATGTATAGATTAATCATAACCAGCTGTTTATTGTTGATAACAAATTTGGGGGCGGGAGGTTTTGGAGAGACACCTCCAAATTTTAAAAATTTTGTTGAGATGTCAAGGGGGCATTATTTTTGTATAAAAAGGTTTAAAAATTTTAAATTTTATTCACTTTCAAAAAATCATTTAAATTTAAAAATATTCATGGCCCCAATTCCCTTTACTCAATTCGCTGCTAATATTTTAAATTGTGATTTAGAAGATGTCTATGGAAGACTTTATTTTAGCCGTTTGGATCGGAATACAGTTGCTAATGAAGCAAGAAAGGTAGAAAATAATAATGGAAATATTTATTGTTCTACTAATGAATTTTCTTGCCCAAGGGGGGTTATAACTGGATTAGCCGAGTGGATATTGGTTGACGATAATAAAAATTTGGCTGTATATCCGGAACAAATCCCTCCACAATGGTGGAGTGAATTAATTAAAAGAAATAGGATGAATACTCAAAATTTCTTTTATGATGAGGAAGTTTCTAAAACAATTGATATGGGACCAGGGATAGAGTTAGAAAATCCTCTGAGAGGTGTACTTGAGTTTTATCCTTTGGAAGGATTAGAAATAGAAGAATATATTGAGGAAGAGGTCCCAGATATGGATAGATTAAATATAAACATTGAAAATAATAATAATAATATTCAGAATAATTATGGTAGTCAAACATCTGCACGAGCAACTATGGAAGTTGAGGTTAGTAATGGAAGTTTAAAAAATATAAAAATGGATTTTATTCAGGAAAAATTAGTTGTTACTATGGAAGCCAACTCGGATCTTCATTGTTCAAGCAGCGGATCTGAGGTATCCACTGTAGAAGTGAAGGTTAAGGCTAAATTGTTTCGTGGTCCGTTGTTGGGAATTTTTTTCTTATGTTTGGTAGTTAGGACATGGACTCCCGCTATGGCAGCACCAAACAGCAACACCCCAACAACACCCTTAGGGGACTCCAATTTGGATACGGAGGACCCAGAAGCATTTGAGGAGTTGTGTGATGCGTTTTTGGGCACACACAATTCTTCTGTGCCTCAAGGGGAGGCACAGGAGAATGCAACCAACACATCACAAATGTATTCAATCTTCGATCAATTAATGGATAATTGGGCAACACGTAACCAACACTTACCAACAACCTCAACAACTACAACTAGGCCAATCCAATTTGTGCCTCAAACAACAACAACAACACAACAAAATGCAGCTATTACCCAACAACAGCAACGACAACATGTTGGTGGTCCGATTCGTGCGCGAAGGCAACCCAGACAAAATTCAAATCAGGGTTGTTTCATTTGCCACGCTTCGGATCACTTCGCCAAATATTGTCCAGTAAAACAACCCTGCAGCAGCAACACGTTAATGCAGCGGACAACAAATCCCCCCAGCAACACACACAACCAGGACACCCAAACAGCAATGCGAAGCGTTGCAACACAATTAACAAGAATGAGCCAGCAGTGGACAAACATCCCTGCCATTTCAGCATTTCTACTTCAAATGGCACAATTCATTCTTTTGGCATTGGACGCTCCGAGACGACACTAATTGGTGGCCGGGAGTGTTTCCAACAGAAAGAAAATGTTTGGAAAGAATTGAAAGGAATTTTTGGGCGGAGAATAAAATAAATAAAAATATATTTTTATGATTAATACGTTTTTTCCCACGCAAATTTCACTCTTTTTAAACCGTCAAATTTTGATTATTTTTCAGTCGCTTTTGAATTTCGAATTTTGGAAGAAAATAAATATTTTATTGTGGAAATAAATTTGAGAGTTAAATTAAGGGGCTTTAGAGAAATTACCCTAGAAAATATATAGGAAGGAAAACCTTATAATTAATTTTAATATTTTGGTTTTCATAGTTATTATTATTTTCCTTATTTTTTGTTAATTGTTGTTGTTTATCCTGTAAATTTTTAATATGAAAAAATTTTTTTAGAAAAAATTTTTGAATTTTTTTTGGATTTTTTAAAAAATTTTTTGAAAAATTTTTTTAGAAAAAGAAATTTCTAAAAAATTTTTTTTAATTTTTTTCGGTTTTTTAATTTTTTTTTTGAAATTTAAAAAATATTAAAAATTAACTATAAGTGTTTTGTCTGACAAAAAACTTCCATTTCCCCTTTCAATATGAACATCTAAAAATTAAAAAAATATTTTTAAGCTTAATCTTAAAATTTCTAATAAAATCACCAGTCCCATAAGCCACTTCTTTTCTTTCCAAACTATTTTTTGGGGGAGTAAAAAACTTAAAAAAAATTTTTTGATTAAAAAATTCAAAATATATATCCACCCTCAACCGAACAGTCAAAACAATAGGGGAAGAATGGACTCCATGTTGTAAATAAAATGTTTGTTGAGTTAATTCCATGTTTGGCTCTTTCATAACAACCCTAACTGGAATTGATAATTCACCAATTTCTCTTTTGGTTCCATCATCTATAGCTCGGATTTTAAGCTCTTGCCCCTCTGGTTGTTTAACAAAAAAGTTGAATTTGCACTGATAAATAGAGAGATTAATTAATTAAAGTTTATTTAGAGATGAGAGACTTTATATCTTTAGGAGATAAGGTAGAGAAAGTATAGGAAAATAAAACTTGAAATAAAAAATAAACTTGAAAATATAAGCATAAACTTGAATAAAATAAAAATAAACTTGAAAATATAAGCATGAACTTGAATAAACTTAGAAACAAAAATAAACTTGGAAATTTAAGGTTGAACTTGAAATATCAGAAAATAAACTTGAAAATAAACTTGTTGGTCAGAGAAACAAGAAATTATATAATAAAAAATGAGAGTCTTTCTTTACCTGATAGAGAGGATTAGTTGTTCTAGTTTTAACTGGACTTTGTTGTTTTTTCAAACCAAGTGAAAATTCTATAAGTGGAGAAGGTTCTAGACCAGATTTTGGATACTGAAAATTATTAAAATTAAAAATAAAAACAATTTTACAGGCAAATCAGAAACAGAATCCAAGAAGATCATTAACAAAGCTGGGTGCATTGGTTTATCAGCCCCTAGCCATTCACTTTCCCACTCATCTCGTTGTTTGTCTACAGCATTTGTGCTTAAATCGAGCCAGCAAACTTTAAGGTTTAATTCCCCATTTTTACAGCCTTCTAATTGGTACCACTAAAAAAATTTTAGAAGGAAATTGAAAGAAAATCCGAGTACTTTTTCAATTTCCCCAGCCTGACGAACACTATCTAGTGGAAGGGATAGTCTACCCAATTCCTCATCAGCTCCAGCCAAGTCTTTATCAAAAAGTTCAATACGCAAACGCTGACCAGATGCTTGATCGACAACGGCCTCGAAGCATTCATTAAAAATTGGGTTTAAATTGTCGTTGATTACTTTTGTAAGAAAATGTTGAGAGCCAACTGTAGTAAAGAATAAAGTAAAAGATTGGGATAAGTGTAAACTTGAACAGAAAAATAAACTTTAAAATATAAGTGTAAACTTAAATAAACTTGGAAACAAAAATAAACCTAAAAATACAAGAATGAACTTGAAAAGTTAAGTGTGAACTTAAAAGAAAGAAAGCTTGAACTTAAATAAACTTGGAAACAGAACTTGAAAATATAAGTGTAAACTTAAATAAACTTGGAAACGAAAATAAACTTAAAAATATAAGCACGAACTTGACTAATTAAAAATACAAAGAAAAATACAAAAAATACAAAACAAAACTTGAAATACAAAATACAAAATAACTCACGTTGTATTTCACAATAGGGGTCACTCAAATTCTTTTTATTAAAAAAGCTTTTGTCTTTATTTTCCAAATTTCTAGCTTGTATAATTTTAAGTCTAACAATTCCCTAAAAATAAATTTATAAATTTTTTAATTTTTATTAAATTTAAAATTTACATCAGGTTCAGGAAAATAAAGTTGAGAAACATTAACATTAGGTGCTAAAGGAAAAACAATTTTGTTGGGTAAAACAGCCAAATTGGCTAGTTGTAAATTTATTATAGAGCGTATAGCGTCTATTAATCCTGGCAATTGAACAAATTCTCCTATTCCGGTTAATATAAAATCGAATTTTGGCAATTCAATAAATGAGCCAGAAATTCCTCCAACCCTTTAAATTTTAATTTTTTTTTAATTTTTAAAAAATATTTGGAACATTGGAGGGTGAGGAAGCAAAGGTTGGAGAGTGCAGCGAAGCTTGCCAGACAACTGAAAAATTTAAAAAATCTTAGTTAGAATGTGTTGAGTACCTCCCTACGAATTACCCTCATCTCCAAGTTACCCCAACTTTTCAGTTATAACCTCTCATTCTCACTTATCCCAGCCTATTCTAAGTTTCATACATAATCACTTTAAGCTAGCACAAATTCCTACTTATCCCAGTCACCTAAGCCAATTATTGCCAGCTTTCAGCCATTCCACTCATCCCAGTCATTTATTCTATATACGACTCTCCTTCAGCTACCCCACACTAGCTCACTTATCATACTAACTCGTTATCCTTCTAAGATAACCCGAAGGAGAGGGATAAGTCGAGAGAGCCTCAAACAACAACAAACCCTACCACAATTTGTTTCAACCCTCCTCTAAAGCCACACGCCTGAACTGTAAATTCGGCATCCCCAGCATAAACAAGGTCCATATCCATTATAACCTTGTCCCTTCCAACATTGTTTGTATAAACTTTCAATCCAGACTTGAAAAGAATTTTTTTGAGGAAAAAACTTAAAAAAGTACCACTCTAAAGGGAATATCCCCCATATCAATCGACACAAATTTAAACGATTTGAAGGGCGAAGGCATTTGTAAACGTATTTGGGGTTCTATAAATTCTTTTAAAAATATATTTGAATATTCTCCAATATAAGGCCATAGTTGTTGAAGTATCTGGAAATTTTATGGAAAATTTTACAGAAAAATATTCTAGTCCGTGTAGGTCAATACCCCTTGGGACTATTTTTATAAAAAAAAATTTTTGACGATCTAAATGAGTTTTGACCCAATGGGACATTGAACCTTAATGAGTTTTGAACTAAATAAAAAATTATCGCAAATATCTCAATAGAAGCTCATCTCCAATAGAAGCCTTATAGGCAATAGATATCTATTAGAAGTAGAGTTGCCGGCCCTGTCCGAAAGATCAAGTCGGAAAAAAAAAGACTCGGTCGGGCCGGTCCGAAAAAATGAGGCCCTAGAAAAAGACTCGGTCGGGCCGGTCCGAAAAAATGAGGCCCAAAAAATGACTCGAACGTAGGCCCGACTCGAAAACGGCAACCCTAAATAGAAGCCCAAGACCCATTGAAAAATAAATCCTTCTATTAAAATATTTCCAGTATATTTTCCTATAATTATACGAATTCTACTCACTTACTCGGTTGACCCATTCAATCCTTTCAATATCCGGAAACTGAACCCAAGCTGGAAGGTCATTGGTAGTTTGACTAAATTGTGCAATAATAGTTTCCCTCTCTTGAAGTATATAATTTCGAAGACAAAGTCTTTTTTGTTCCTGTTTAATCCAAGAACGTGTTTTTAACTTTAAGAGAGAATTTTTAAAATTAAATAAAAAATACAAACAATATAAACAACAATAAATAAAAACACCCAAAGCATTGATAATTGTAAATGCCCAATTAACCAACAGGCAAACATTAAAATTGAACTGCTTATTATTGGAATCTTTAGAGGGAATAATTTTTTGAAATTAAAAAAATATTTTTAGATCAAATTAATTTCTTGACTCTGGCCTAGTTTATGAGTCCAATGGACCCTTATCAGTCCAATAAAGCTTTATGAGTCCAATAAAAAGTTTACACCACTGAGTTTGATATCTTTAAAGACACAAACCTTTATTGGACTCATTAAGGCTCATTGACTTATCCAGCTTCATTGGACTTATACGACCTTCATCGAACGCATAAACTATACCAGCGACTTATTTTTAAACAAAAATTTTTTAAATTAATTTAAATATTTTAATAAGAAAGGGAACTAACCAAATAATTAGTCCAACCCATTTTAAAAAATATTTGAAAATATTAAAAAAATATTAAAATAATTAAAATAAAATAAGTAAACTCCCCAAGTGTTAGCTAAAATTAAAAAAAATATTTTTTAATTAAAATATTCTAATAAAAAGGCACTTTTACGTAAAACGCGCTTTGTTCTCCCTTCATTGGTCTTTCTCCCCCCTCTTAATTTTTATTACCCCGATTATCCCCATATTTATCTCATTCCTTATCTATTATCCCCCACGTTTTACTAGTTTTAGAGAAAAATATTTAAATTAAATCCAATTAATTTTTGTTTTTATTTTGATAAATAAAAACGTCAAAATTTAATCAAAAAATAAAAAAAAGGAAAATTTAACAGACAAAAATATTTATATAAAAATAAAAAATGAATCATAAAAAAAAGAAAAAAGGTATTATAACAACAATAACAGTTGGAAAGAAAAAAAGAGAAAATTTGTGGAGTGATTTGGCCATGATTTTGGAGCCCAAAAAGCAATCAAATCGATTAAAAAGAAAAAAAACATGAACATTTTTAAAATTAATTTTTAATTGAAAAATAAATTAAAAATAAATTGGGTGAACCATGAAAAATAATTTTTTTTAATTTTTTTATAAAAATTTTTTTTGGACATTTAACTTAGTTTTTGGTCAGAATAAAAATGAGAAATTTAATTAATAATTAATTCTTTGCTAAATTTAAGTTTTCAAGCTTGTTCTTAATTAAAAAAAAGTTTTTACTTAATTCAAGTTTCTAAGTTTGTCTTAAATACTAATAAAAGTTTTTAAGTTCCAAGTTTGATCTTAAATAAAAAAAAGTAAGTAATTCAAGTTTTCAAGTTTGAACTTAAGTTTTTAAGTTCAAGTTTAATTCAAGTTTTTAAGTTTGAACTTAAGTTTTTTAAGTTCAAGTTTAATTTAAGTTTTTAAGTTCGTCTTAAGTTTTAAAAAGTTTTAATTACTTAATTCGAAGTTTCAAGTTTGTTTTTAAGTCTAAAAAGTTTTTTAAGTAATTCAAGTTTGTAAGTCTTAGAATAAAATTTCTGCGCGACTCTTTTTAATTGGTTCTTTTAATTCAAATCAACTTAAACGAAAGAATTTATTTAATGACTGATAATAAATAAAAATATTTTTTTTATTATATTGATCGTTAAAAAAAGACAGGAATGAAAAGACAAACTGGAAATTATTCAAGAGTGAAAGAAAATAAAGAAAAAATAAAAAATAAAAATTGTTGGTAAAAAATATTTAAAAAATTATAAAGTTTACTTAAGTTTTAAGTTTTTAATTTAAAATAAGAAATAATTAAAGTTTAATTAATTCTCAACTTTTTAAGTTCAAGCTTGAATTGTTTTTATTAATAAATTACGCCTGTTTCTACATAATATGTTCTGAATTTCTGTCGAACTTGCTAAACTTATATTTTAAATTAAATTTTAAATTTATTATAATATTTATTTTTTTTCTTAATTTTTTTCGAAGTTTATTTTTTAATTTGATTTTAGCAAGTAATGTAGCAAAATAGGCAAAAAAGCCCCTTTTTCTGATTTTTACTTCCCTTAAAGTTTTAGCTTTCAATTTTTTGTGAATATTTAAGTATACATGCAAAACAAAATAAATATATAAAAAATATTTTTTAGCTACACTTCAATGCATTTTATATTTTTTCTTTTCAATAATTTCTCTTGGCATTTTTCTTTAACATTTGACTTTTAAAGGCAAAATTAAGTTGTTAAGTTTAAAATCAGAATTAATTCAAGTTTAATTTTTTCAAGCTTAATTAATTAAAGTAAAACTTGAAATAAAACCAGAATTTATTTAAACAGAAACAGGCGGAATTAAATAATTAAAAGTTTAAAACTTGAACTCAAAAACTTGAAATATTAAACTTGAATTAATTAAACCTGAATTAATTCAAGTTTTCAAGTTTAAGCTTAAAATATTTTCTTAATATATTCCGCCTGTCTCTGTTTTAATAAATTTCGGTTTCATTTTAAGTTTTATTTATTTCTAGTGTGTATAAACAAATATATTAAAAGTTTGCTAAATTTAAATTTGCATAACTCCACAAAATTCATGCAATTTAAAAAAATTCAAATTTTCCTCCACTTAATTTCCTCTTTCATTTTTCATTCATTTCCTTTATTATTCCAACTAAAATCCCTTAAAAAATATTTTTATTCCCAACTTTGTTGGTGTTCGTCTTTTAAAAAGCAGACTGTCCCTAGAGGTTTTTAAGAGACGGCATTTTTGGCTTTTCTTTAACACTTTTATATTATTTTTTTATTTTCTACATCATTTTATATTTTTTTAAATTTTTTTATTTCTCAAGTTTAATAAAAATTGCCTCTTAATAATTTTTATAATATGCAGAGCACTTAATAATTCAGCCTTGTTTATTAATTCCGCCTGCTTCAAGTTTTAATAATTTTCCAATTGTTTCTTTAATTTAATAATTCCGCCTGTTTTTATTTTTACTTTATTTAATTGTTAATCAATTTTTTCCTTATAAAAATTTTTCAAAAAATTTTTAAGAATTTTTTAAAAATGTGAAATTTTTAAGAATTTTTTAAGAATGGAAAAAATTTTTCTTTGTTTTTAGATGGATGGCATTAAATAATACATATTTTAATTTAATTTTTTTAATTTTTAATTTTATTTTTCCAAAATTTTCTTCTCTTTTTAATTCCCCACCAAGTGATTTATTGCCTTGTCAATTCCCCTCTTCAAATCCATCAGAACTCGCAACTTTTTGTCAGTTACCTTACCATCAAGTGCCTTTAATTTGTGATCCTGGTGGGATATTGTCTAGAACAGAAGCAGAATTAATTGGTTTTTAATTAATTTTTTAAAATTATTGATTCTGATTTTTTCTCTATTTTTAAATTCTGGTTTAAAATTAAAATATTGAGTGATTTATCTAATATGTAATTCTGGTTTATAATTCTGATAATTAAACCAGAATTACAAAATTTATAACTATAATAATTAATCAGAATTAATATTTTCAGAATTCTGATTTGTATATTTTAATTCTGGTTTAAAAATTAAAATTCTGGTTTATTCTGTTAATTAATTCTGGTTTAATTCTGATTTGTTAATTCTGGTTTTTTTGTTTATTAATTCTGATTTAATTCTGGTTTGTATTTCTCTTGTATTTTTTTAATTCTGATTTTGAATTTTTGGTAATTCTGATTTTGTATTTCTGTTGTATTTTTGTTTATCTTAAAAAATACAAAATTAAATTCTGATTTTTAATTAATTCTCCCTCCCAGACCGCCAACTTAAAACACAAGTATTTAATAATTTAACAAGTTGTATTTGCCCTTTACGTCCATGCATACAAAAAGACAAAAAATTGGGGCAATTGCGTGTTTTTGGATTATTAGTGCCTACAGCTAATGGAAATAGGTTTTTAATTAAAAATTCAAAATTAATTTATTTTTAGTTTAATTAATTGTTTAAAGAATTCAAAAAATCAAAGAAAAAATAATAAAAATTTAAATAATACAATAAATGAATTTAATCGGTTAACTGGTCTATTTGCTCGTCTTTCACTTGACAGGCTATTAACAGGGTTTGGGGTGGATACGAGAGAAAGATGTGATCCTGACCTTGTAATTTAATTAATTTTTTTTAATTTTATTTTAAATATTCTCAAGTTTATTCTCTACATTGACAGTTGGTGGGTTAACCAGAAACATTCTAGAGAACCTTTTTTAGCCAGAATATTTAGGTAGGTTATTTATTTTTAAATTTTGAATTGTATTTCATTCCTCTATGTTTTCCAAACCATAATACAAAAATACCCAGAATATAGAGAAATATTGGGAGGAGAGCCAGTTAAGCTTTTCGGCACCTTCGTCATTTCCGACCGCCTCTGCTAAGAAAGGCTTCAGGCCTATCAACAATTTTCCTCTATAAACATGAAGCCCTAATAACGGTGTGTTTTTCCCTTACAAAATTCACAAAATTAAATTTAATTTTTTTAAAGAAGAAATTTGGCCAATTTGAGAGATTATTCATTAGTGGAAAGAGTAAATGGCAAAGGCAGTCCTTTTGAAATTATGAATGGTTTTTTAATTAAATTATTTTTTAAATATTTTTAATTAAAAAAATTTCTAAGACTATTTACTCAAATCCTTATTAATATCCAAACAACAATTATTTAACAACGTAATCCCTACAAAACCCACAGAAAACACAAAAAATACAAAAATTAAATCAGAAGAAGAATCAGAATTAACGGTTAAAAAAGGACATAGTATTCCTCTCTGGGCTATTTTCTCAGCCTTAATTCTGGTTTTAATGGCTTTATTTGCTCTCTTATTAGCACATTTAGTGGGAAGACGTGTGGCTTTAGCTCAACAGGTGAAGTTGTGTTTTAATTTAATTCTGATTTTTAAATTTAATTCTGATTTTTTTTCTTATTGATTTTTTATTCTGATTTCATATTCTGATTTGTTCTGATTTTTATTCTGATTTTTTTCTGATTTTCTGCTCTGATTTTTCTTATGCTTCTAACTTCTCTGAATTTCTGCTTCTGACTTCTCTAAAAATTAATTCTGATTTTCTCAAAATTTTTTTTTCAGCAGAAAAAATTTTCTTCGGCTAGTCGAATGAGTATGAGAAGTGCTCGACCTGACGAATCCTTATTAATGAGTGGAGGCGGGGGAGCATCAGCAACAACAAAAAATACCCAAAATAATGTTTCCACAAGTGGGGGTAATTCTGCAAGCGGGGGAGGATTGCCTTCGTCCCATTTAAAAAGTCAAATGATGTTTAGACAATTTGGGAGAAAGTGTCAATCTACGACAAATTCTGGTGGGGGACAGGCAAATATTGTTAGACAAAAAATTTAAAAAAATTTTTTATTAAAAATTAAAATTTAAACATTTTTTATTAATTTGAAATAAATTTAATTTAAAAAATAAAAAAAATTGAAAGACAAAAAAATACCGGAAGGGTATGCTGAAAGAGCAATAATAATTAAAATTAAAACAATTATAGGTGTGTATTCAAATAAGAATAAAATAAATTCTGATTTTTGTATTTTTAAGTTAATTTATTATCAGAATTTCAAGTTGGTATTTTTCCCAAGTTTAATTCTGATATTTATTTCTTGTAATTTCCCTATCAGAATTTCAAGTTTAATTTAAAGTTTGTGTTTTTCCAAGTTGTAATTCTGATTTGTATTTTTTAAAGGAAAAATCAGAATTTGTAAAAGTTTATTTTATTGGTATCTAAAATTCTGATTAGAGATTAATTCTGATTAAATAAACTTAAAAATCAGAAAATAAACTTGGAATACAATAACAAACTTGAAATATCAGAAAATAAACTTGAAAATCAGAATTTCATAAATATGTATGTATATTAATTAAAGTTTGTATTTTTTAAAGAAATATGAAAGACATACATAAATAGTCATAAGATTCAGGTTCTTTTTTTGATGCGTAAAAATCAAAAATATTAAGAAATGACTAGAAAATTGGGTAAAACTTATTTTTGTTATTAAAAAATTAATTTTTTAAAGATCCTCAAATTATTTAATTAGCTATTGCAATATTGAGAGGATGTAGTAGTAGATGAAGGTCCAACAAGTATTGCAGCTATTGCTTCACTTAATTTTTGTTCCTCCAACGGTCCGAATTGTTGAAGCAATTGTTGGACTAGAGGTAGACTTTGCTCTATTGGAACCGGGGCTGCTAACAACTTTTAAGGAAAAATTTAAAAATAATTTTTAAAATAAAATTTACTTGTTGAATAAGTTGTTGGTGAAGTGATAATGGTTGATTTTGAATTAAATTTGTGGGATTAACCAAAATTTCTTGGTTATTTTGAAAAGGAATTAGTGTTGGTGGAGGTGATTGGTGTATTAATAAATTATTATTTAATTGTTGGTGGTGGGAGGTTGATGATGAGAGATCTAGCAATGCACGAATAGCCTGCATTTGTTGTTGTTGTTGCTGTTGTTCAAGCAATAAAGCTGCAGCGTTAATTTGTTGTTGGTGGATAGTTGGTGTTTCTCCTGTAAATATCAGAAGATAAACTTGAAATACAAAAATAAAATTTAAATATAAAAAATAAACTTGAGGTATAAGAATATAAACTTGGAATATAGAAAATAAACTTAAAAAAATAAACTTAAAAAATCAGAAAATAAGCTTTAATTATAAAAATAAGCTTATTGTTAGAATGCAAAGTAAACTTGAAATACAAAAAAAAAAACAAATTTGGGGTATAAAAATAAACTTAAAATATCTGAAAATAAACTTGGGCTATAGGAATATAAACTTGGAATATAGAAAATAAACTTGGATTATAAAAATAAACTCGGGGTATAGAAATAAACTTAGAATACAAAAATAAACTTGAAATATAAGAATAAACTTAGGATACAAAAATAAACTTTATTTATAAAAATTAACTTAAAATATATCAAAAATAAACTTGGGGTATAAAAATAAACCTAAAATACAAACTTCTAAAATCAGAAAATAAACTTGGAAAACAAATATAAACTAATATGAAAATAAACTTGAATATAATCGCCTACCATTCTGATGAGCTTGAATGAAAGAAGGATAAATAGGGTAATTATTTGGATGGCTACAAAAATCAGAATTAGCCGTATTTATTGCCAATTGTTCTGGTTTTGCATTTAAATAAGTTGAAGATGTTGAGGTATTGTAATTATTAATTGTTTTATTAAGTTCTTGATGGTTTCCATTAATTCCATTATTTTGGAAATTTAACCAAGACTGAAAAATAAATAATTTTTCCTGTTAGACTATAAAATCAGAATTTAACAGTATTTATTTACTTGGCATTGTTCTTGATGTATTTTTAATCCAATATTTTGGGCATAACTCTTTCCACATCCATCACATTTAAACGGTCTCTCGCCAGTATGTACACGGAGATGTACTTGCATATTTCCTTGATTAGTAAAAGCCTTGTCGCAGTAATTACAACTTTAATAAGGGACAGGTGTATTTTAATAAATATAATAAAATTCTGATTTTTGTATTTTTAAAGTAGATCAGAATTCCAAGTTTATTTTTTCAAGTTGTATTTCTGATTGAAATTACTAAACTTGAATTTAATAAACTTGATTAAAATACTAAACTTGAATAAAAACTTAAGCTTGAATATAGTAAACTTTAAACTTGAAAACTTAAGTTTGAATTTAGTAAACTTGAAGTACTAAGTTTAATTTATAATATCAGAATTTCAAGTTGTAATTCTGATTTTTGTATTTTTAGTGAAAACCAGAATTAGGTTGTATTTATTATAAACTTCTTAATTCTGATTTAATTATTATAAAAAATTCTGATTTTATTACCGAAAAGGTCTCTCTCCAGTGTGTAGTCTTGTGTGAACATATAACGAACTAGCATAAGCATAATGTTTACCACAAAATTTACAAACAAAATCTCCATTTCCTCCAAAAGATTGTTTCCTAACAGAATTAATATTATTGTTATCATTATTTGTTGTTGTAGAAATTAAATTAGTAGAAGGTTGTGGGGGTGCTGAAGCACAATGGACAATTTCAGAAAAATTGTTGTTAATTATTGGAGGTGATTTAATAAAAGTTGAACAAGTAGAGGATGATGAGGAAGAAAAATTATTGTCTGTTGAAGACGATTGAGGAGCTTCTTCGTGTTTTACTCGAAGAGGTTGCAATACATGTAGAACAACAGGTTCTGCATTTCTCTCTTCTGTCCATTCAGTCTAAAATAATATTTGATTAAACTTGGAATAAATAAACCTTATAAAAATAAACCTGATATAAATAAACTTAAGAATACTTAAAAAACATTAAGAACGAACTTAAATAAACTTAAGTCAAGTTTATTTATTGTTCAAGTTATTTAGTTTATTAATACTTAAATAAACTTGAAACTTTAAAAACGAACTTGAGAAAAATTAAACTTAAAACTTAAACTTAAGAACTTAACATAAAATAAACTTGAGAAAATAAACTTGTTTCAAGTTTACAAGTTTATTAAAAACCAGAATAAGTTTATTTAAACAATTCAAGTTTATTCATTTTATTGTGTATTTTATTATTAATAATATTACATTTTTCTGATCATTCTGTTCTGAATTCCAATCGGCAGAATTTTCTGTTTTTCTGACTTTTCTAGCAATGCTGCAACTGCTTCCACTGCTACTAGATCTTCTACTAGCATGAGTGCTTTCATGAGCAGTAAGTTGTGATTTCTGAAATTAATTCAAGTTTATTTTAAAATTCTGAAAAAGTTTATTTTTTAATAAAATAGAACAAGTTTAATTAAATAATTCAAGTTTATTAAATATCAGAACAAGTTTATTTTAAAATTCTGAAAAGTTTATTTAAAATTCTGAAATTTTTACCTGTATAAAAGAACGTCCACATTCAATACACAAATAAGGCCTTTCTCCTGTATGCGTTCTCTCATGACTTTGTAAATTGCCTTGGCTAGCAAAAGCTTTGGGACAAAATTTACAACGAAAAGGTCTTTCCCCTGTATGTGTTCTTAAATGGACCTAATTTTTAAAAATAAATTTGATTAATTAATTTAAATTTTTACTTGTAAACTCCCAGCATAAGCAAAAGATTTGTCACAATATTTACAGGAATGTTTCCTTTCTGTTTGTTCGTGTACTTGTCGAATATGTAATTTTAAATAATTTTTTAATGTAAAGGTTTTGGGACATCCAGGACACTTAAAAATTAATTTAAAATTAATTTTTTGAGAAAAATTCTGAAATTCAAGTTTATTAAAAAATAAAATATTCTGAAAAAGTTTATTTAGGAAAATTCAAGTTTAGTTTTTAATTAAATCAGAACAAGTTTATTTTTAAATAATTCAAGTTTATTAATTAAAGTTTTTAAGTTCAAACTCAGAAATTAAAAATCAGAATTAATTCAAGTTTTAATATTTCAAGTTTTTAAGTTCAAGCTTAAAAAGTTTAATTAAACATAAATTCCGCCTGTTTCTGTTCAATAAATTCTGATTTTTATTTCAAGTTTATTTTTTACCTTAAAAGCCTTTTCTCCATGCGTCTTTTTGTGTGTATACAAAGCAGAAGGGGAAGAAAGGTTTTTGTCACAATAAGGACATAAATAATTCCGAATTCCTAAATGTGCTGATTTTTCATGGACAGTTTTAGTTCCGTATTGGGCAAAAGTTTTTTCACAAAATTTGCATTTGTATGGACGTTCTCCTGTGTGTGTTCTTTCATGGACTTGTAATGTTGCTTTCTGGGCGAAACTTGAGAGAAAAGAAAAATTTTTTCAAAAAATCCAGAAAATCTTCCAAAATCCCCCTTTGCACCCCTTAATACCCATTAGATCCAAAAATACCTTTTATCACAAAAATGGCAAGGAAACGGTTTCTCTCCAGTATGGCACCGCTTATGCGCCTCCAAAATGGAAAAATATGGAAATCGTTTTCCACATTGGTCACATTTATGTCTTTTTTCTATCGGCTGTTTTGAATTGTTTAAATTATTTTTTAATAATATTTCGCCTTCCTCTTCTTCCTCCAAATATTCTTCTTCTTCAATTTCTTCTTCCTCTTCCTCAATTTTATTTTCTTCTTTTGTTATTTTTTCTTCCTCATTTGAACAATTATTTTCATTATTTTTTAAATTTAAATTAAATTCTGATAAAGAACAATTTGATGATGATGAACAACAACCAGAAGAAGAAGCAGCCATTTTTAAATAATTAATTTTTATTTAAATGTTTATTTAATATTCTCATTTTACACTTTAAAAGATCAGAATTAAAACTTGGGGAAAATACAGAAAAATACAATTCTGATTTTCTCTAAAAATACAAATCAGAAACTTAAAACTTTGAACTTAAAAAATTAAACTTGAAATTCTGATAAAAATTAACCGAAAATAAAAAAATCAGAATTACAACTAGGGAAAAATACAAAAAAATACAATTCTGATTTTCTTTCTTAAAAATACAAATCAGAAGCTTAAAACTTGAAATTCTGATTTTAAAATACCTGAAAATACAAAAATCAGAATTAATTAAAACTTGAAAAAATACAAACTTGAAGAAGAAAAATACAAACCTTGTATTTTACCAAAGTTGTAATTCTGATTTTTGTATTTTCAAATAAATATCATAATTTCAAGTTGTATTTCTGATTTGTATTTTTTTTATTCTTTATTTATTTTCTCTCATTGTGTTTCTCTCATAAAAATAGCAGTAGGTCATTTCTTTGTGTTAGGGGAAGGAGAGAGAGTGAGTGTGAGTCAGTTAGTGACAGCCAGTTTAGGTATTTTTATTTTATTTTTATTAAAATTTTTTTTAATTTTAAATTTAAATAAAATTTAATTTTTAATAGAATTAAGGATAAAAATTCGAAAGAAAAAATATTCACCCCCAATGGAAGGGAAAGTAAAAAAAATAAAAAAGGGAAGAGGTCAATCAACTTATGTACATACTATATGTATTTATTTATTTTTTTAAAAATCTCCCTTTCGGTCAGCTAAAGATAAAAAAAATAATAAACAAAAAAATACATTTATTTATCCATTCAACCACTAAAAATCACTGCACACAAAAGCCGTTTTTGGGATTTTTTCCATTTTTCGCGGCTTTGCGCATTGAAAAAATAAAAAAATAAAAATAAAGATGAGCACAGCTCTCGATTTACAATCAAATAAAATAAAAATAGAGAAAAGAAAAAAATGGAACAAAAATAAATAGAATAAAACAAGAGGGAATGACCAGTCGTTTTAGTGTTGACAACGTTATTTGAGAGTTCATAAAATAGTCAAAAGTGGACCTATTGACACCAAATTTTTTGTGAGACTTTTTGATTGTATTCTTTATGATTCTGAAAAATTTCAGAATTTTTGGATTACTGTAACAAAAGTTATGGTCGAAAAACTAGGAAAAATCGACACTTTTCTACAATAATTCAATATTTTTGAC